CTGGAAGTAGTTTTCGAGAACAGTCCCCCGGAAGTACCCCCAGGTGACTGAGTGACGCAGATTGAGGAGGTCATCGAGGGTATTAACAGGGTTCTCCACCTTGGGGAAGGTAAGGTAGGCCACCAGGTTACCAGAGTAGAGGGTGACCACCAGGAGCACGAAGATCCACCAAGTGCCCACAACTATACGCCCGGAGTCACTCAGGGGATCCCAGTCACACCCTGTGGTAGCGAGGTTAGTACAAATAAGAAACACGTCTGTCTGGCGTTCAGCAGAGGGAGGATCCAGCCTCTACCACGTCTTAAGCCGAATGACGAATGACCCACATGGGTTTAGCGTTGAGCATGAATTAAACAAACTCCACCACCATCCTGTGGTAGGCATGAGGGGCACATGAGAGAAAGAGAGGGGGGGGGATAAAAATGCACAAGAGTAATGTAAACCGAGATGAAACGAGGAAAAGAAAGAAATGAAGGAAAAAAAAGCATAGGCTATTTAGTTTAGGAGTAGCTGCACTTTTTTTATTATGTATATTTGCCAATATTATGTGGGTTATTCAATATACCTAGTTATTTTTTTTTTTACAAATGAAGAAAAAAGCTATTTTATTTTTTGTTAACAAAACTAATTCAGTCTTACCAAAATAATAACCTTAGAATCTAGGTTAGTTCAGGTTAGGCTGGGTTAAGTTAGTTTCTTTTTCTTTTGGCTAACCAAAAACAAAAAGGCTTCATACCTAAGGAACACTCTTCTTACTCACAGAATAATCATACCCATAGAACAATTTTCTTACCCATAGAACAATTTTCTTACCCATAGAACAATTTTCTTACCCATAGAAAAATTTTCTTACCCATAGAACAATTTTCTTACCCATAGAACAATTTTCCTACCCACAGAACAATTTTCTTACCCATAGAACAATTTTCTTACCCATAGAACAATTTTCTTACCCATAGAACAATTTTCTTACCAACAGAACAATTTTCCTACCCACAGAACAATTTTCTTACCCATAGAACAATTTTCTTACCCATAGAACAATTTTCTTACCCATAGAACAATTTTCTTACAGAACAATTTTCTTACAGAACAATTTTCTTACCCATAGAACAATTTTCTTACAGAACAATTTTCTTACCCATAGAACAATTTTCTTACCCATAGAACAATTTTCTTACCCATAGAACAATTTTCTTACCCATAGAACAATTTTCTTACCCATAGAACAATTTTCCTACCCATAGAACAATATTCTTACCCACAGAACATTCTTCTATACACAAACAACCAATATTATTTTTGAGTAATTCCAACACTAATCATTCATCAAAGAGCTCAAAATAACGCCAAGAGAATCACAGAGTTTATAAAAATTTGAAACACAAAGAAAAAAGATCCACTAAAAAATAAGACAAAAGACAGGAATGATCAAAATGAAAATTAGGTTAACCACAAAAAAAAAAAAATAAAAAAAAAAAAAAAAAAAAAAAAAAAAAAAAAAAACAAAAATGAAAATAAACTTTGGCAGTAAATCTTCGTTGTAAATCTTGGCTCTTTTGATTGGTAACTAAAATTGATAAATTAATCGATAACTTTTGCAGTAAATAAAATTTTACAGTTATAGGTCAATAAACAGCGTTTGGCACTTTTTATCCAACAGGAATTATTATTATTATTATTATTATTATTAATATTATTATTATTATTATGGCTCAAAAAGATACTTAAGCTGATCAATGATTCATTCGTACAGAAGTTCGCAGAAAAAAAGATTCGTTATATGCATTGATGAATATATCTAGTAGCCCAGCAGCTGACAAAGCCCTGGCTGTCTTTCTCTTTCTCTCTCTCTAGTGAAACTTACTCTCACAAAACTTGCCCTTCTTTTATCCCATCCTCTACACTCTACACTCGCAAGTAAAAAAATATTTTTTAATATGTACACTGACAGGAATGGCGCATTTTCACATGGAAGTGGAATATATTTCACACTTAGGAATATATTATACACTTAGTTTACTTTAAGCCCATATCTGAGATTAAAGTATATTCGACTGATGGTAAACAGATGACACGCAGCCTTAATGGCTCTTTTGTGTCCACAGGCTTTAAATAGAATTAACTTTATTATATATGCAATGTATTCCATTAGTTCAATAAATATTCTTTAGTGCATGTGCGCTGTGTATATATTTGAGGGAAAGGGGGAATATCTGAGGCAGAGGTGTCTTGATGCCAGCAAAGGGGTTCTAATCCATGGAAATGTAGCTATCCACTCCTTCCCAGTATCAGACCTAATCACTTCTTATTCCTTAATCGCTTTGTGACCCATACTGGTTTAGCGCTTGACCATTATAACAATAATAATAACTGAAATGTTTGAAGCATATCCGAGGAACTACATAGATAGGATAAATGAGAAGAAGGAATGTCAGGCCGGATGAGCACGCCGAGAGGGGTCTCCCCAAGGATAAGCATTAAAGGCTATGATATTTCCATTGTCAGCGAGCTACCACAGGTGGTAGAAGGAAAGTAATAAGAAAATATACAGAGGAAAAGTAATAAGAATACGAGAGGTGGAAGATAAAAACAATCAGAACTAAATGTTTAAAGTTGTATTCCAATCCTACCCACCCTCTTGTTTTGCTACAGATGGAGATGTTAGTTGGCTACAGTCTTCAGCCTCCACGAACACAGGTGAGGATTCAGTTATCTGAGGTCCTTAATAGTTAACCATGATTTTTAATGAGGTGGACTGGTAAGCCAGCTGAAGTCTTCGGTCTGATGGCCAAAAGCTCCAAGTGTGGGATTATCACCCGCGTCAGGAAACACTTGTCCAGTTTCCTGACAAACCTAATACCTACCTACCTCTGAGGTCGTTAAGAGATCTTCCAAAGTGTCACTACTTAATTATTACAATAGAAAGAAGAACCACGAGAGTCACGATCACTGTATACAAGTTAGTGGGAAGAATTAATAGAGGATATATAAGGAAAATTTAAGGCGGGTCCAAAAAACAGTTCCTCCCCCACACCATCGATCCCCGCAAAATCAAACATATTACACACCAACCGACAATGAAAAACAAAAATAGTCATTTTCTCCCACCCCAAAAGGAATTAGGACTCACCCTGCTGCAGTACGGCGCTGTAGACATACCAGAAGCAATTATGGAGCTGGAAGAGGCCCCTGCCGTTGTAGAGACCGTAGTAGGAGTAATAGGGAGAGTAGCGGTTGATGAGGAAGAGAATGGGACCCATGATGACTATGGAGATGACTAGCAAGATCCACGTCTGAAAATGAGAGGATACACACATGGGGATACCATGGGAAAAGGCAGACTGTTGTTTCATGCATCGGGCAACGCTAAAGCCGTAGGAGTCATATAGTGCATGAGGGATAGTGGGCATTAATGTGCGATCCAAGGAAGGGGAAAGGTAGAGTGAATTCTTTAGACCAAGAATTATTCAGCATCAAGGAATCCCCATGTGTTGGGGGGGGGGGGCTGTGTCACACTGCACAAAGTCACGTTCCTGGGCACCACATTTGATTGTATCAACAGACTTGACATAAACACTAAAGTAACAAAACATAAGTGAGCAATGCTGCCCGTGTGATGGAAGGTTCTCCTGCGTGTTCTGATAGCGTGTTGACATGCTATAAACTATTCAAGTACTGTATCGAATTTAATTGAAAGTGCGTAATATCTCCGTTTACTTCTCAATGGCGAGCAAATCATTTTTCAATCCTGTGCTCAACCTTACACAAGTTATGAAGTTTTAACTAGTTTCCAAATAAAGTGTATATGTAAAAGCGTTGCTAAGTCATACTGTCATGAAAAAATTAATAAAATATTACCTAACTGCATAAAATTCTCTACTGTAAAGGAAAATACTATCTCATTTAAAAATAAAAAAATATTTTTGTGTTCTATTTGTCTGCAATAATATTTATTTACATTTATATGAATTCAGAAGAACTTACTGATTTTTAAAACTGTTAAGGAAAAATTAATTAAACGTATCAGTATAATTATAATCATAGTTAAACGCGTAGGAGTCGTTCAGCGTCTGAGGATTGGAAACAATTTCGCGAGGTAATCAAATTTAACCCCAGAAAGGAGAGTTTGGCTCTAATTTTTGAACCAAGAACCCTTCACCAGCAGCAGTATACCCCTGTGAAGGTATACCTGGACCTGGAGTTTACCTGGAGAGAGTTCCGGGGGTCAACGCCCCCGCGGCCCGGTCTGTGACCAGGTCACAACAATTAGCAAAACTGAAGTCCCATCTCTAGCAAGATTAAACTTTGTAGAAACAAATAGGGATATATTAGAAAAAGGGAAAACACCCCAGAAAAACTTGATCCCGGTTATCCTAAATTGTTAATTTATTAGTGAGGAGAAAATCACATGACATGGGTCTTAAACAGATGATGACCCATTCTTTGAATCATTAAAAGCATCTTCAAATCTGTTTCAGTGCTTACATGGTTGTGCCCTTGACTCAAGGTCATAGATTGTGTCCGTGTTAGAGCACTTGGCTCTCTTCACCGCTGGTGTGTTGCTTATGAGGCAACATATGTATCTCCACTTGTACACAGGTTAACATATACCAACCAACACAAGAGGCTGTTGTGCTGCTTATGAGGCTACATATGTATCTCCACTTGTACACAGGTTAACATATACCAACCAACACAAGAGGCTGTTGTGCTGCTTATGAGGCTACATATGTATCTCCACTTGTACACAGGTTAACATATACCAACCAACACAAGAGGCTGTTGTGCTGCTTATGAGGCAACATATGTATCTCCACTTGTACACAGGTTAACATATACCAACCAACACAAGAGGCTGTTGTGCTGCTTATGAGGCTACATATGTATCTCCACCCGCAGAAAGGTTAATACATACAAAAAGCACAGTAGAGGAAATACAGTAACATGAGTTTGAAGAACTAACAAAATACATAATTAGAATTTTCTACCATTCTGCG